GGTTTGTTGCAAAGTAAACAACCCACGCTGATCGATTAAGAGCCAAAACCATTTCAATTTTTATCCGTGGAGGAAAAAAATGTACAAAGGAAAATGCAAGTCCACAATGATAACATATGTTTAGTTAACCTTTAAACGAAATAAATGTTCGTGATAACAATTAATCTGATAATTATGCGAGCTAAGAGAGAGTGCTTTTTAATAAGCATCTTTCAACAAAAAAGAAATTTATCAAAAAAAATTATGTCTTTCAGTTTAATCTTAGTCGGAATGATTCAATAACTAATATTTGTAGCTCAATAGTAGAGCGTTGCAGCGCGAAATCCGATGGTCTTATGTTTGATAGTGCATGTTTTCTTGTTAGTTAGAGCACAGTACACGGCATCGTCGGTTTTTTGTTATTATTTATTTAACAAAGAGTACGCGTTTCCTCTCTTTTCTTTTATATCATGCATTTAGATTTCAGACCTATAACTGCCATACCTTATTTTATTCGAAATTGGTAGACCATAGGACCTCAAACCACTGCTTAGCGGTCGAAATAACATATATTTATTTGCTTATGTTGTAAGAATGTTAATCATAGTCTTTACATATTGCGGTAAAATGTTTCTCTTTGCCCCCTTTTATAGCACAGAACGTATGTCAAGCAACGCTAGCAAATATTAGATTGAAATATTCATAGTGGTAAAACTTCTATTAAGAGAACCGTTATAATGAGACATATTCCCGCATAGAATATGGTACCAACACTGAAGTTCCCTTGAATTGTTGTGTGATGCACATGGCTTGATTGAACAGAATCTTGACGCTTATTTGTTATGCAAGCTGGTTTATATTACCTCTGTGAATTGCGCTCATGGGTATTCCTATCAAAAACGAACGAGGCACCCGCCAATTTTTGTAAAAATTAAAGACTCAAAGGGGTTTTGCGTTCTTAGTTAAGTGCAAAATGAACCTCGTTGTAAAAAAAAACAATTAGCCATTTAGGCTGTTAGAATAGCTCTGACGGTTATTACTTTGGACCTGAAATGATATAGTACGCTTCAT